CCCTCTCCGCCTGAGCGCCCTCCGGGGGTGGGGAAGAACCGATCAGTGGCGTCTGTGGGGGGCGTGTGTTTGGCCCTGCCCGGCCGTTGCCCCCAGGCGGGAGGGAGGGGGCCGAGGTGGCCTTATTATTTTCCTCCCCCCACCTCCCGAGGAGGAAGACCCTACAGATGCCGCCTCTTAAGAGACGGGCTGGGACGGAGGGAAGGAGGGAGAGGCCGTCGATTTTGTGCGTACTTCTGCAGGATAGTCGGGTGAAACATGCATCTCTCTGCCCCCCCCCCAAAATCCCCGGGGATTGCAGTAGCAGAAAAGAGAGAGCGCGCGCGCCTTGGCTAGAATTGGGACTGCCGGAGCTGCAGCGGAGGGACCGGCGAGAGGCGCCTCGTGCTTTCCGTGCAGGAGGCGAAATGGCAGCGCGTGCCCTCCCGCCTGCCCCCCTTTGATGTTCTTGCAAGCGCGCTGAGCCCTGTTCGGTTAGCGGCAGAGGCGGGATCGCGACTCCGTCTCCGTCCCCACCGCCAACCCCCCGGGGGCAGTTTGGCCGCTGCAACGCGCGGGAGGTGCCTGCTTATGCCGCCCCCGCGCTGCTGCAGCCTTTGTCGGAGGGCAGGGAGGGGAGAGGAGCGAAGCTTGGTGTCCAGCGGGCAGCTGAGGTTACATCGTGCCGGGGTCTGATTAATGGTCCTGGTGCTTTCTGGTTGGCTGGCTGGGCCTCTGCTTATGTAAACCTCTTCGTCGTGCAGGGGTGTCTTCTCTAGGCCCGGATCTGCTTGAGTCCGTAATTGTGGGCACGAGTCGCCTTCCTTTTTGGCGCGTCTGAAGCGGGAAAGCATGAAGGGCTTGCTTTCCTAACCCTTAGAAGGAGTTGGGGAGGGGGGTAGTTGTTTTGGCTTCTTGGCCTCCTCAGATGGGGGAAGAGCTAAACTAAAGTTAGGTCCAGGGATATGGATATTTGAATCCAGATGGTAACTTAGAATTGGCAGTGAGTTTTATTTATGATAGGAGCCTCAAACAAGCATGAGACGTTTGACTTTTGCATGATGGGTAATTGATGGTAAGCTCAATTTTGGTAATCAGAACAGTTCCTGAGTAAATTCAGTCTGTTAAACACTGAGAGGAAAAGAGAATCCTACTCTTAGTTTTGGAAAAAAGGCTCCTTAAAAATTGACCTTGGCCATTGATCTGGGTCAGCCATTGGAGGTGGGTTAGAAATATATGAAATAATGTGCACCGTGAGCATGTAGGCCATCTTAGAGAGAAAATCTAGGGATTATGGTCAACGGTCATGTTTAGGTTACACATATGTGGATTCTCCTAATCCCACTGGATTGGCTCACTGGTAGATCTGCAGAATTCCAGAGAGCT